CATAGTAATTTGGATATTAAAATCAGGGGTGCGTCAGCCGCATTTTAGTATTGGCGAATTTGCTTTGATGACTCCGGTGGCATGCACTGATGTCAGCTGCTGATAATTCGCTGTTGTGGCTCATAAATTTAGAAGTCCTTGAATCCTTGTGTTTTGAGTTCAATTTCATAAACTTGCAAAACAAGGTTTCTTTGTTCCCTTCGCACAGACGTGGGGAAAAATGAAAAAACATCTATATCTATATTGACTGTTACGCAAACTGTTAACAACAGCCAGCCGAAATAACAATATTAACATTGATAATATATCTGTCCAAAATGTATAATCAGTAAATGCAGATAGCAAGTTGATAAATACAGAAAAAGTAAAAGAAAGTTAGACAAGATCTTCAAAAGAACAGAGGGAATACTTCATGTCCATCTGTGTTATGTATCAGTAGATGCTCATCAATAGAAACATTATCTTTGGGACATCCAGGAGCCAGCAGAATGATGATGAGTGCAGGAAGAAGGGCACTCTGCTGAATGAAGACTTTAATTGCACCCACTTGCATACACATCAAACAAGGCCGACTAAACCTGCACTAAACATAATCTGTCATCTTGACAACTCCACTAATGGCCACTTTTCTTATACGGGAAGGAGATATAAGAAATCCACGCATGGAACGCACAAAGACATGTACAATGCTGCACAGGCTCTGCTGGCTGCGTGTGGCAGATAAGTCTGGTGGCAGTAAGTGCGGTATGTAAACATTTGTGCAAGCTTGGAAAGATACTCACAGCTGCTACTCCAAGACTTGAGGAGAGATTTGATGCTGATCTCAAAGAAGACAGAATCCTGCAGGCTCAGCATGGTAGCTCCCAAAAGTTAAGCTTCCCCAGAAGGCACAAATTTTACAGGTTTCCTTTCACCTTTATTTCCCAAAATCCAAACATTCCACTCTTCTCAAAAATAAACACCTTGCACTTATCAAACTTGCAGACTCCACCAGTAGGAGCTGAGTACTAGCCTCCACAGGTGCTAGTTAAAGGCAGCATCCTGAAGAACAGTGCGAGCAGATGCTGACGGAAAACCCAAGAAGCCCTACCACTTTTTCGCTTTTGCCACCCAGTTAGCTGAAGAGTAAAAGTGATCAGAAAGAAGAGGAGAGAGAGCGCACAGCCTGGCTAGTTAGAGAAGTATTCCACCCCAGAGCCTGCTGCCCACTTGCCAGTCCACAGAGTCCCTCATCCCCATTTCAGCAGAGAAAAATCCAGAAACCGAAGGACACAACTGCATGAGAACTTTTGTTCCTGAAATGAGGGAAAACAGTAGCAGAACAGTACGCGATAGAAGTCTTAACAATGTGCGGTAATATTCCTTCTCCCCTTCTCTTCCTGTGTGTATGTGTGTGTGTGTGTGCATGTGTGTGTGCCAGTCCTAGCCCGCTAGCACCGTCAGCCACCCTCCTCCTCCTGCCCCAAAAGCTCTCTCCCTCCCTGTTCGCTCATGGCCAGCCCCTCCTCTTCTGAGTGAGCTCTTGTTCTTTTACCGATGCCTGCTCTTTTCTCTCAGAGTGAGAGAGATGGAGAGAGCTTGTTTCAACAGCAAACAGGGAGGGAGGGAGCAGTGCGTGGGGGTGGGTGATGTCATCAAAATGCTGCGAGTGTTCCCTGGCCGTGGTTCAGTAATGCATACGCATGTCAGAGCTGCTACTGTGCTGCCTCTCCGCTAGCCTATCAAAGCAATACTTCCTGTAAGCTCCGCAGCAATACTGATGCGTCATTCCAAACTGCAGTAGGAGGGAAAGGAAAGAATGGGAGGTGGATGAGGGAAAGGAAAGAGGAAGGATAGATTGAACACACCTTAACTAGTCAACCAAAATAATAAAAATATGTTCCTAAATTAAATGTATTAAATGTATATTTCACTTTTTAAAACAGGAATATATATGACGTAATAGGAGTATGTTAATGCAACTCACTACAGTCAAGTGAGATGGATAGATGACTTGCTACCTGTTTTCTTTGGCATTATAGTGATCGAAACTAATCTTGCTAAGCTAACTGCTCACACCCAAAGGAATCATGGGCATTACATCACTGCCCTGTCTGAAAGCTACCAGGCATAGTAACACACAGAATGATACACAAACACACAACACACCCCATTAGTAAGAAAACAGCCCATTGTTTTTGTGTGAATGTGAAAGACACACGCACACGATTCAGCTGATATTTTAATCTTGCACTGACGCTAGTTATTCCTGCCCTGGCAGAGACTTTAATGCTGATCCACATGACATCAAGCAATTTGTAGTCAAGCACAGGATTAAGTTTGTTACCAAAATATTGTGAAGGGAAAAGCAGTGGGAAAGCTGCAAAAGACAAATGTTCTTTGTCTTCTTTTAGTTTAGTCTTCATTTCTCGCTCGCCCTCAGTCTCTCCCTCCGTCACATGTCCTCCACTACACAAGTTATGCAAAGTGAGGCAGAGCTCATTGCAAACAAACAACACAAGCAGATGCTTTGTCAAGCCCTGGCTGGTGCTACCCCGACGCAGGCTTCCACTGTGAAACTCTGCCTTGTAATACACAAACAGATTGTTTACAGTACCACTGCAAATTTGCAGCAATCACACGGTTTTATTTTAAGCCTTAAATCGGAACTTCTATGAGTCATGTTTAATCTTTCCTAGAGCTCCATTAAAAGCAAGATACTGCCCCGTCTGTCTGTTCAAATCTGACCAACTGCATTTCCCCAAATGTCAAAGTATTACGTATGTGTCTAATTTACTAACCTAAAAATCCCCAGGATTACACTCATGCAGCAGCTTTACTGTGACTAATGGCCACAACTGGAGATGTAAAGCCATATATAGAAGTCTGTGAAGCAGAGTCTGATCCTGAATGAGAAGGGGAACAGCTTGCTGTTGCACAATTCAAAGACAATTTAGGAACATAGCAGGATGTTTCAAAATATCAGACAGTTTCTAAGTAATGAAGTAAAATATGTTTTGGGGTTATTTTGTTAAGATGTCACTAGATTACTTGTAGCCTTAAATTAGTTAATTTAATGAGGAAATGAAACTCTTGAGATTAAGAATTTCTTTTGTGAGAGTTCTGGGTCATGTCAGGAAACATGAGCCGACCGCATTTTCAATGGGAAAAAAAACAAAACAAAAAAAACCCCCAAACCCAAGCATGCACAGGGGCAACATGCAACACAGAAGGACTCCACCTGTGGGGTTTTTTTTTGTTTTTGTTTTTTAATCTTTGGTCCACCCTTTTTCTACCTGACACAAATGCAGTAAGTAACAGCACAGAGGGTGGATAGCTGAATAGTTTTAGGGATCAGTCAAGTTTGACTGTTTTCAAATATAACTTACTAAATGTGCTCCCTTTACATGCCTTGGCTCTAAGTTCATGTAGTGGGAGGACAACAGAAGAACTCATGGTCAAATCCTGTTTAAAAACAACATCTGGGTTAATATTATTGTAATCGACAAACGAGTCAACATAAAACAATCAGAGCTCTCTGCAAACATTGTTTTCTGTAAACCAGCTTTATTGTTTAAGGAATGCAGGACTGACCACACCGTCTCTCTGGGAACACTAGAGCTAAAAGCTACTGTCCGATGGAGCTGACGTAAGCCGAGAACTTCAAATAAACACCATTATAACTCACTTCCTGGAATAAAGACCTCACTGATCAAATAATCTCAACTAAATGCACAATCAAGGCAGGTTACTTAAGCTTCATTCACAAAGTAGGAGCAGTGACTGACAGCTAGCCATCCTGGCTGCAGACAGTATAGAGCAGCTGCTCCTCCCCGGAGCCCATGGGGTGGAGGATGCATTTCCTGTGCTGGCCTCTCTGAAGGGCAGTGGTGGGAACAATAATCGATAGGAGCTGTAATTCAATCCCTGACCTCCCCAGCGATGCCTGGGCTGCAGAGGACACATCATTTAGATCCATCACAGCATTCTGAGTATGCAGCACAATTCTGCAACCTGCACATCTACTTACTTCCGCATGCTCCGTTGACTCAGACCCAGCTATTTCATTGCACTCCTGTATTAAATACCACACATTTAGACAAAGGTTTTACACAAAACTAAATAGGCTGGATTTTTTTTCCCTTTAGTAGTATATTGCAGTTTAGCTGAATGACAGTGGATCTAACCTTCATATATAATGTGTTGCATAAACCATAAACAGTCAAATTCTATGAGACAATCTATTGATTCTGCTCAAGCTGAAAATGAGCAAACTCATTCTTTTGATTCGCCTAGCAAATTAAGACAGTCTAATTGGAAAAAAAGAGTATTTCTTAGGTCAGAAGCAAAAGCCCCGTGGAATGATGAGCAGAACATGAGGAAAATCTGAATAAAAACACCTCTTAACTCAGGTTTTAAAAGGTCAGTTTATTACTCATAGAACCAAATGTCTTCAAGTTTATTCACTATGGAACAGCTGGCTGGAGAATGAGTATGAACAATGATTCACAGCATTCGTCGATATGACACCATATTCCCACTAAATGCAGGCTGCACTGCGCACCATTATGGAGTTTGTTTCACTATAGTTGGCTGACGACTACTTAAGAAATTCCATGAATAAGTTCATCCATCCTGTCTGGATACACACCCTGTGGAGTGTTTAGACAGAAATTTCACAAGGATCTTTTATTACAGAAGCACAACCCATCACTGCACCATTTTGTCACATGCTCCAAACACTCCCTAATCACAAACCCGCTGCACCCATTAACCAAATACAGTCCTAATCAAACGTATCCTGAAAACTGAACTGTGCATCAAGCAGTTGAATATTGTCTAAGCCTGCAAAAGATGACAAACGACAAAATGAAAAGAACAGCACCGCCTTAAAAGCCACAGACTATGCAGGTTCTTCAACAAGGGAAGTGTCACTCCACACGGAGTTAAAACTCAATTAAAGCTCCTCTGACCTCATCTTAATGTAGCAATCACGCTACGTCTTGTAATGCATAACTCACCATTGTGACCACTGCCATCACCAGCATGGTTCAAAAAGGAGACTTTTTTAATATGATGGATCTTTCCTAATAGGGAAGAAAGAAGGAAATGTTTGAAAACAATTTGCCCAGTCAACAGAAACTGTCTTTCAAAATGAACATCAGCCTATAGCCTGCAGTCTGAGCCAAGCACACGCACACAGACGAAACAAGAGTTTCATGAGCCAAGCTAGCAAAACTTTAGATTATCTTCACACTTCACCAAACCAAAATGAAGAATATCACTTTGTTATTGTGGGTTAGTTTAACCGGTTGAATAATGCTATTCATAAAGACTAAGAGGCCAAGTGAGTGCAGCAGAAGGGAAGGCTGAGTCATATTTTAGCCATGAGCAAATAGGGAGCAAGCATGCTCTGACAGGTAGCAGTGGAGGGGAAAAAAAGAAAATACCCTGAGAAGTTTACCAGTGTAAACTGGCTGACCTACATGAAAAATTATATGTACGTAAACCTTTAACTACTGTCACGGGCACAATATATCACCTACTACAGAGGCATAACACTGGCTTTGGATGTGTCCAGGCGGTGAACGATTATTGAGTTGATGTGGCAAAAGATTTGTATTTGCTTCAGAGCAGACATGGTAGCAGCTGGTATACACCACCTTTTGTATCCTTTGAACTTAATGCTCCATAGAGCTCCACGCTGTCTCACGCTGTCTGGAATGACTTCAAGGTGCACAATGCGATGGATGTTTTACAATGTCAAACTTCCTGACTGGAAGCGACTGGAGATGTTGACCTTGAATAAGAGCTGGCCAAAAATTTAATCAAAGACCTTTGACTTTTATGGATCTGTCCTCAGAGATTTTTGATCACACCTTGCCTACAGCTTACCTGCCAAGTAAAAGAACTCAGCACTGTTAAACAGACATAACCTGCATCGCAGCTTTCCTTTTATGTTGTCTGAAAATGCTTAAGATCACCAAAGCTCCAGCCAGAAACAACAAGTATGCTTTTTATCATCCAGTAAGATGTCAGATTGCTAGATTAAATGGTGACAAGACACCCAGAAAAGTCATGATAGTGGGCTTTCTATGGAAAGGCATGTTCACAGATAAAAGAGACTAAATAAATAAAACTCTCTTTTTCAACAATCCACCATTGTGTATATAAGTAGCAGTATCTTAAAAAAGGAAAGAAAAATCAAGGAAGAAAGTAAGAAGTATTTGACACATATTTCGTGATGCTGAACTAAACCACCTGGGTAGGACAGAAATCCACAATCCACAAACACTAAAAGGGGTTACAAAAAAAGGTTCTATTGACAGTAAACACATCAAGCGGACAGAGTAACCTTTAACACTTTTCTTTGCAAACGCTGTTATCATTTTGACTGGCTCGGTCACAAAAGACAAATAATTTTGTTGCTGTGTTTTAAACTTTTGACAACTAGGTTAATGGCAGCAGTGGATGTGAATAATGCATTAAGAATGCTGACCATGAAAACATGAAAACCAAAATAATGTTTTAAATTGGGCTTGGAAATTTACACTGTATGCAGTTCTTAAATATAGTCTGTGTGGGCACATCACAGCAAGCATTGCCTTTGTAAGCTAAAAGTGGTTTGGTAATATTCGTGAATTGTTTAAATAGCAGTCTGACAGACTACAGTCCAGCCTAAACTTGGCTTTCTTATGCTACTGCTATGTGCTGTCGCATTACACAGTTAAGAGGGCTCCACCTACACTAGCTCAGTTCTGTGTAGCTGCTTCTGTTTAATACTGATGTGAGATCACATTTTGACAATGGATTTGGCCAACTAGGCGAAAAACCCGTAATACACGCAATGACATCACTGCACCAATTCCAAATTCAGTATGAATTTTCTGACTTCACTTCCAGTGGTTTTCTGGCTCACAGTGAGTGGGGTAACTAGCCATCAGGAAGACAGTCTTGCACATAGTAAATTAAAACTACTACTACTAATACTTTACTGGTATTCCAAACAAATTTTAAAGAAAAATAATTTTATGAAAATGATTTTCCTTTGACTAAAAGATTGGATGGGTGCCAAAAATTTCTCTATGCAAAAATCTTCCACTCTGAATCATAAAATATTAGAAATCCTGCGTAGATAAACTTACTCAATATATACTATACGGTATAACACATCCAGGACAGGCATCTAAAGCAATTAAATCTCTGTTTTCCACACAATTAATTGGATTTGGATTTATTTATTTATTGCACAATTTGAGAAAAATGTATCTTACCACTGTTTGCACTTTAAACATTTAATAGCCTCTGCCCAATAAACAAAGAAGAATATGAATAAGGAATAAAGCTTTTATCGCAATGTCAAATTTTTGCATACCTACAGTGTTATTTTGTGTATTGTATATGTTCAGATTGAAATCACAATGGAAATACAATTCATTTGTCAGCACACATGCCCCTATGCCACACTCTCAATTGAGCATGGATTGAGAGTGGTGACCACAGCATTTTACTGCCCTCCACAGTGAACAGAAAACACAGATAACCCAGTCGTATTTTTTCATACATGGTGTATGTAAGCATGTGTGCATAAAGCAGGAGGGTATTAAGCCAGTTTTTGGAAATATGTTAACAGAGATTAACCAAAATTGTAATCTATAGGAAGCACATTAAAAAAGCTATATATATATGAATTGTGTATTTGGGACATTTGTACCTTTAAGGCGGGTATGGTTACTGCGAGCATGTCTGGAGGAGCTTATCCCAGCATCTAGCTTTGTAACCGGATCTACCAGATCTTCTTCAATGGTCTGTCCCATGGTTAGCAGGCCCAGTCTTTTCACCCGGAGAAGCCGTGGGCCTGGCTCCCTGGGTTCAGTTCCCCCATGTTCAGCAGACCCCTCACCTGAGATCACAGCTGGAACCAGGCTCTTTAGAAAATCCATGGTCGATGAGACTTTAGGTCTTTTACTCTGGTGCATAGTCCAGTAGCCTGTGCCACGCCATTCTGACACAAATTACCTGCCTGTTTCACGTGCCCCATTTACAGAGGAGTAGGTAGTCTTTATAGCGAGCTGCAACCTACATGTAGCCGTCAGACGTGCACTCACTGTAAAGTTCTTAAGCTGTGGGCCCTTACAGAGCAACACAGAAACTCTCTGTCAGGCTCTCTAAAGCTATATAGAGAGCTCCAACTGTAGCTAGTTAACCTGACAGAGTGAGAAACTTTCTACACTGCACATTACCTGTCTGTTGACAGTGTAAAGAGAAAGCAAAAAGACATGGATCTTTTCATAGGCTGTGATGTAATTGCAAGTAGGCAGGGCTATATTTGAGTGCCAGGCACTATCTGGGGTGGGACTAGAACATGTTCCACAGGAGATAACACAAGCTTGGGCCTCTAGCCAATCACAACAGCGATGACACCAGCCACACCCTGCTGGCCTGTGTTACTCACAGGAGAAACACCACAAGAGAAGGAAGAAGATTGACAGGGACTAAAACAAGTAAGGAAGCGCCATAGAGCAGGCTTCACTCGCCCGCCTGCCTGCATTTACTGATAGCGCTTATTGAAGTCGAAATAGTGTCACTTTTTAGTATTCATGCACAAGCACAAATGCTCATTTGCTTTCTTGCTAACTTGCTTAAACAACAAGAGCACCCCTCCCCTTGCTTTCACTTCTGTTCAACTGTGCTGGTGTCTGAAACAGGGTGATGACAGACTGCTGTGCTCTGCTTGGCTGCACAGTTTGTACCTGCAGTGAACTCAAACCCTTCCAAATATCCCTTGCTGCAGAGTAAGGCTGTCTTATGCTGTGCTGACTCTCAAAAGCTCACTGCCTAAAGAAATCATCAATTTACAAATGCAGTGAGTGCTCTACAGCAACAGAGAGCTGGAAGCATTCACAAATTTCAGTGATGGCCACAGCACTAATGTGCAAAAAAAATATTAAAACGCTTAAGTTGAACATTATATGCTGTTTCATCAATCAGTAAGCAGCATGATAAAGGGACTGTTCTAATGAAGACTCCAATAAGCACTTTAATATTAATAATGAAATAAGCAACTCTAATATAAAGAGGTTTATGGCACTAAAGTACTCAACAGGATTTAAAACCTTGCTTTACATCTTTAAAAGCTTATTCATCCATCTTCCTAACAACTTATCCAATTCAGGGTCGTTGGGGGCTGGAGCCTATCAACTGCTGTCAGGATGAGAAGCAGGGTACACCTGCAGCATTGCTGGTGCATCACAGGGTTAACACAGAGAGACGGACAACCATCCACACTCACTTTCACACCTAACATACAGGTAGGTACAGGGAGAACATGCAAAGTCTCCCCGTTTTCTGGGCCTGACACTCACACTTGGATGAGTTTCGGGGTTCTCATCTTCCTCCTGATGTAAAACTTAAGTCCATTATTTTCCAGCGAGTCAAACGAGGTTTGCTAGAACCCTGTACAATACAGAAGAGGGAGCTACTCCAAGCTGACATCAAAACCAAATTTTTGCTATATTAGCCCACATTGATAGCATTATGCTGTTATGAAACACGAATGGCGAACCTACTCAAAAATTAACCGTGGCCTTTAAAGATTTTTTTCTTTGTTCGACTAATGATTATAAGGAAACACGCACTCTGAGAGACCAGTAAGTGTGGTTAGGGAGTGTTTACACCCTCTACTGCAGTGTGCGAAAACATCAACAGCAAGATGATGTAATTGTTGTAGTGTATAAACTATGTCAAAAGGCAGAGATAGGAAGTAAAAGTAAAAGACATCATCCTCTTCCTGTTTCTCTCCTCTGTGCTTTCTGTAAATATAACTGAAAAAGCAATGCATGTAGGTATGCATGTACGCAAATATGCTTGAATGTGTTCTTGCATTGGCTGCATATGGTATAAAAAAAAACAAACCCTGATATACAAATAAGGTAGCTGGCTCTATATAGTAGGAATGTAAATATTGTAGTGGCAGGAAACACCAGACACACTAAAGGGTCTAAGACGGCCCATCAATATGGCCCTATGTATTTATATTAAATAAAAGGGGAATTTTTACATCTCATTATGCAACAGTTTCTCTGGTTTGGCCAACTTGTGATCACACTCTGCTGTTTTTAGCACTTGATCTAAAATTAGTAGATACCCCAAGCTTTAGAAGTTTACAATATGACTACTTGACAAGCAAGCAGAACACTTGTTAAAGTGGGACTGTAGCTAATTAACACTTGTGCCCAAAACTACACTACCAAAACATCAATTAATTAATTTTTTTTTAATCACTCAATTTTTCCACTGGCATCAACATTTTCATATATAAAAAGTCATAAAATTGAATTAATTTACTGTTAAATCTATCAAAGCGTAAACCTTCACAATCCAGAAAAAACAACTGACACAAAAATGTTTTGTCCTCACTTAAAAGAACATCAGGAATTGAAATGTTAGTTCAGAAACTTCAAACCATTTTGCTTCCATTGCATATAAAGTGCAGCAGGCCTTTTAAGTTGCCATTTCCACTAGAGACCACAGATGTCTGCTAAGGCACAGGAACTAATTTGTAGTTCTAGTGTACATAGTCCTTTGAGTCTTTAAGAAATTATATAAGAGTGAGGTAGCTAAATATGTCAAAGTGTGCCCATCTGACCTCTCATCTTACTTGCCAAACTGATTGCCTTAGTTATGGCATGCTGCAATTCATTAGGCTGGTAAAAGTTTCCAAAAGGAATAATTTGAAATCTAGATACAAAACTTGACAAATTATTAAAAAATATAATCCCAAATGTAAGCACAAGAGAAAAAGACTGTTTTAAGTTGCAAAGATGGATGTTGTTTCAGGACTACTGCCAGGCAAAGATGCAGAGAGGAGTTAGTCAGAGAAAGGGAGAAATGGATATGGCAAAGATAGCCATCATTAGGCCAGGGCACCACAATGGTCAGTGGAGGCAGCTGTGGTTAGCTGGGGCCAGGTCTGTGGTGCTGGTGAGTTAGAACAATACCCCTGCACAGGAGGCCCAGATCCCAATCAGCCCAGGAATGTGGAAGAGGAAACTCCGAGAACAATGTACAGCGTTCCTAGGCCATTCTGGGTCCCACCCATTTGTGCCTTGGTCTGCTTTCAAGCAGAAGAAAACAGGAAAACTACTGGGCCAGGGACCAGAAACCAGGGTCTGTTCTGCAGTCAGCTGAGGGGGCTGTTAGCATTAAACCTACCAGAGTCACTGTGATTGCTTTGTGCATGCATGAGTCTACTGCCCCACCTCTGGATGTGAGTAAACAGCTAGCATTCCATGTCAAGTAAGGTGAATATGAAAACAATGTTACACTGCCCCCTAATGGTACAAACAGCCACCACATCATCAAGCTATAACTCTGCCTTCTTATGCAAGGCTCTCAAGTGTAACCTGAAATGATTCAGCCATAAAAATTGTGTTTTTGGACAAGTGTCTAACATATTGCTTGGGTGCAACTTCATCTTAATTTTTGCTTACTAACGGCTTGCTCTCCCAAGTTAGTCCCTATAAACTCTGGCTATTCAGATGATAACTCTAAATCTCTCAATTAGGAAACCAATACAGTTAATACGTTTGAAAATAAATATCAGTATTTCTTTTTGTATGCAATTTCTTATGGCCCTATTTGTTTTTATATTTACATAACTGAATCAAATTTAATGTATGCCATGGATCTATTTTTAATTTCCTGTACACAAGTTAAATTTTAAGGCTGTGTTTTCCATTGGTAAACACAAACGAAGTGCTGAACATTCGAACGTTCGTACAGCGAGAGATCAAGCTGGTTCAGCCCAGTGCTGAATGGCTGTTGAAAGGCAACCCACAGAGAGCCTGGTTGTCACTGCTGAAGAATGTGAGAATGTGACCTAACCAGACCCAGTGTCAAAATTAACCTCCTTTCTTTCTTTTTTTGTGTCCAGACCAAGTGTGAGATGACACATCTCTCCCGGAGACCAAAACAATATGCACAACCACATAGTTAAGCAGTCATGTGACACATGCCGGCATAACCCAACTTCACGACATTTACAGCTCACTGCTGAAAGAATAATTTCAACACTTGATTAAAACTTTTTTCGCCCTTTAAATATTAACACCATAGCTGCTACTGAGAGTCATTTTGAGACCTAAGTGGCAGAATTTGCCAACACTGCCTCACACAAACTGTGGAACAGTGTTACGGAATCAGCCGTAACACTGATACTCAACATATTTTGAACCATTCAAACAAAAAACAGAACAGTAGGTGGGCTTCAGTGTAACTGGAATTTTTTTTAAGCCTTTTTTTAGTTGAATCCATTTTTTATTATGTTTGGCACTGTCAAACATAACAATTACTTTATCAAATACTTTATCAATTACTGTCTTATGATGTTTGCTTTCTAAACATGCACTTCACATTTAGGCTTGATACACAACAGCTATGTCTGATTTAAAAATGCCCTGAAAAATGGTGAGAAAAAATAAAAAATAAAAGAATGCTTGGACACTGGGGCTTCCACACAAACGCAAAGCAGGAGATGAAGCATCGCCAAGTATGTTTTCAAACCAACTTCATTCTAAGCCAATGAATAGAAAATATGGTGAAGCATATCTTCCCTTTGGCTTCACCTGCACAGGAGCCAAGGTAGGAGATTACAAGATTTTTGTTGTAAAACAAAGAGGAGCCTAGCAAATAAAGTTTGGGAAACACTGCCTTAGGACTACAGTACAGACAAACACAGATGAAGTTAACCAAGTCAAACAAGAAAAGAAAATGCCAGCCAGAAAATACTAAATACTCTATTGTACTACTTTTAGAACTTTGCAAAACAAACACAGCAATTAATCCAACACCCTCCTCATTCCCACAGTATTTAGCTTGCATTTGCTCTAAAACCTAAACCACAGTACACAGTGGAACACAACCCCCTCAACCCTTGCATACTACCTTAAGGCCATAGAGCAGGGGCTGGAACAGGAACGTGACAGGAGGGCCCACAAATTTGCTGCACAGGAATCTGAAATGGAGTGCACAGAAATCATCCCTTTAACAACTACAAAGCAGAAAATTGATATGAAAACATAGGGCTGCTCGATTATGGCAAAAATGATAATCACGATTATTTTCACTGAAATTGAGATCACGATTATTTGACGATATTTATTTAACCCTTTAAGACCTACTATAGAACCAAGTCCACCAGAGCTTTTTTTTTTTTTTTTACATGCTGTAGTGCCATTTGTGGGAGCATTTCAAGTTGCTATACATCAATACAACTGTTATAGCCCATATTTTATGCATTAAGTCCATAGTAATTACATAAATTGCAAAAAAGTGCAATAAACTACAAAAAAATTTGAAAATCGCTTTTGTTTTGTTTACATATATTTCTACTTGGAGAAATTTAAGAGGTTTATCCCTCAAAACTTTAAATACAATAAAGTTGCAAAAAATAGTTTCCCACCACAGGAAATTTATTTTGAGTGTCTTCATAGTTTTATTTTGGAGATACAGCAATTTTTATATACTGCAGGAAAAACAAAAAACAATCCTATGATGCAAATTTGCAAAGAAAACAGCAGGTGCATCATTTCACTGTGGGAAGTGTTACGAACAGCTGATAGGAACGGCAAAGCGTGTTTCTGGAATATTATGTTTTTGTTCCTGCAAGCGCTTTTTATGCAATTTTTGCAAAGCTATATGTGGAACGAAACCGTGACCGAGGACAAGCTGATGGCATAAGATGTAAGTACAACTCCTCCGGTTTCATATGCAAAACAAATTATTGCGCTAGCTTACACGGTTCAGGTTCTACAGGGATTTAAAAATAGTTACGCAAAACGGAGCGTGCTGCTCTGACCGGCTTTAAAGGGTTAACAATGACTTTAAAAAATAATATAAAATAGTGTGCAACACCACTGAAGTTTTTTTTTTTTTAAACTCTCTTTTCAACCAACGGCAGTCATCCTCTCCAAATAACTTCTGCTTAGCTTTCCGAGCTTCCCTCGGGTCCTCTTAATCAGCGGTCTCCAACCTTTTTTGCGCCACGGACCGGTTTATGCCCGACAATATTTTCACGGACCGGCCTTTAAGGTGTCGCGGATAAATGAGGGAGGGGCTAATAATCGGCTCAGTCATTTTTAATGATCGTTGAAAGCCCAGATCGTAATCGTGATTAAAATTCGATTAATTGAGCAGCCCTATGAAAACAGCATAAACAACCAGAGGAATAGAGAAAATACACTCTTTAATCTTAAAGTCAATCTACTGTGCTCATTTCATGCGTCATATTTTAATTCCTAGCCTAATCACTTTGAATGATTCCCAGTTACAAATAGTCCTTATTTATGTCATGCTGGGGCTTTGTACAGTCCCATATCTTAAAAAAAAGAAGAAAAAAAAAGTAATTTCAGCTCCTCCCGCTTCAAGTCCCTCTTCCTTTAAGTAAGCTTTCTTCTGGTTGGCTGCCTCTCACAAACCAAAGGTTTGAACAACACATGATTGAGCTACTTTGTCTGGGATGACAGTATTAGACATGTTAGCTCACAAGGGTATTAGAATGCCAAGAATAAAAGGTTATAGGTCTGTGTTACCTTGCTTGACAGAAATCATTGTAAACTCTTGGCATTTCTGATCATCTGCTGAAAAGACGACTACCGCAACTGAGTAAGTGAAACCTTTGTCAACAAAACTGTCTAATTTTTTTTTTTACAGTGCTGCTGATTTTTCTTTAGCTGCGGCTAAAAACCTCTTCAGACAGATTCCAAAGATTCCTCAATGCAGGAAAAAGCCTGGCTGCTAGCTCGCAGAAAAACCTTGTGCACATGCTGACCTCCCTGTTTAAAACTCTAGCCATGTTTAATATGAGCACTAACATATCAACAGTATATTAAAGAAAGAACATTCATTATGGCTTTACATTAACATTGGTATAGATGCACTTACTTTTGAGAGTTGGGAAAACATTCACACATGTGTAACTTCACTAGTACAATCTTAAAGCTTTCAATAATAGTGTCAGTATTTTTAAAGATATGGTATAAAAATGTCTAAAACAGGCATTTTCTCACACCCCTCCACCCCCAATTCTGAGGCGCCAATCAGCAGGAAGGATATGAGCCATAATCATATTGTTGCGGTGATGCACAGAAGAACTTCATGGCCATTTTAGATATGTGCTGACAGACATCTACTCATTTTAGGCCATGAAAATAGGTAGGTACCTTTTGTTTTGTTTTTTTAAATAGTACATCTCTGTACACTGAAATTAAAATTATGAATCTCTTCACATTCACTCAGAGAAAAGCCTTAGAATATCCACCCAGGATCATTCAAGGTAGTCTACCGAGTCGTGAGATTTACTTCTAGCAGGACTTTGGCTGCAAGTCTCCATCAATTCAGAAAATTCTCTCCACTCCACATGAACTGATTCCCTGGATACTTGGATAATGATATGTTTTGCTTTTTCTTGAGAACATCAAGATTATGCCTCCAAATTCTTTTTACTTCAATTTGATATGCACTTTTGAAGTGATGACATGAAATATTCAGTTTGGCCAAATTCTGAAACGTAAATAATCCTTCCAAAAATTCCTGGCCCCAGTTAATCCCTTTCAAACTTGGCCAGACCTCACTTCTCACTAAACGTTCACGTAAGTGACAAACCAAATCAATCACACAGAAGTAATTACATGTCTGAAATTCGATTATACAATTTTTTAAATCACTTTCTCCAACACATCCTGTATAATCATAATGCGTTAAAGACAGAGTGCTGCTGAACTGTCCAGTCACAGTTTCAAAGTGATGGGTCAGCCTACTGTTGGCTTCAGCCTGATTTGCTCTGTGTTGGGACAGGATTAAAACCTCCTCCTGAGCAGAGAAATAATCTGAAGATTACCCACTACATCCAAGAGGCAGTTACATAAGCATTCAAAGCCTCCAAAACTGTGCTTTCCTTCTATGACTGAATTCATTTCATTAAGTGATTTTAAATCTAAACTACGAATCCTTGAGGCCAAGTCCATAACATGCAACTGTTTCAATTAGATTGATTGTCATTTTAACTGACTTTTTTATTTTTTTGTATTCTTTCACTTATTGTTGCATGTGTGTTGTTGCTGCCTGTGTTTGAGTAATTTCTGTAACTGTGAGACATCTGCTGCTGCCTATCTTGGCCAGGTCTCCCTTGAAAAAGAGGTTTTTAATCTCAATGGGATCTTCCTGGTTAAATAAAGGTTAATAAATAAATAAATAAAAATATTACTGTAGCAGCTGAAAGAGGCTCCTTTTATAGTCAAGTAATCTCATATCCAGTCACACATTCATTGTTACTGTCTGGCTCAGAGGAGACAGCAGCAGTCATTTTAAAGTAAAAATAAAACGAAGGCTTGGTAAATATAATCCAATCTAATAGAAACGAATACTGAAAGTAAGTACTGAGACTAGGAACTTCAAACTATTATCAAACCGTAGTTCAACAAAGGAAGGAAGAACAAACCACTTAGTCACACAGCACCCAGACAGAGAAGCCGAGTTGTGAGAACTTCCACTCTTAACATTGCGGACGAATGGTGAGAACAAGTCAGCGGACATAGCAAGTCAAAGCAAAACAAAACCAATGACAGCCATAAAGTCACGTCACAGCGACATACCGTTACCAACCTTTTCCCACCCACCACGAACACAGCTTGAAAATTTCAACAAAAAAAAAAAAAAAAAAAGTCAGGCAACATCACTCACTTCTCACACTGAAAGACCTGTGAATAATATATCTGACTTCCTGTTCCAGCTCAGCGACTCCAAAACACACAAAAAAAACATGTGACCGCAGAAGTAGAGTAAGCCAAACGCAGAGCACCTCAAAAACGCTGCAGCAGAAATCAACCCGAGTAACAAAATCTCCTGCTCTGTGTTTAAGCACTTGAATCTAAGTATTTTCTCTGGCCGTGCTTAAACATATCTCAGTAATTCTTCTAACAAGCAGGTGCTTTACCAAGTCAGAGTATATTTAAGCGTTTAAACATTGCACGTTTTGACGTTGCTGCAACTTGTGCAAAGAGCTAAAGGTCAGCAGTAGCCAACTGATCTGATCAATGGTTAACCTGGCTTCATATATTAAAACCATCCTGCTCTTTCTGGTATGGGAAGGATGCTGCAAATAGGAGGCTGATACAGGAAATAGAAGATAACCCTGACAAAGACAAGACTGTCCTGTCACATGTCCACTACCCACAGGCTGCAAAACTAAAGCAGAGTTTTCTTACACAATCAGCATTATAATTTAGAAAACAAACTAAGAAAGTATAATTCAATGCTTTTTTTTAAGATAAGTATTAAAAAGGTTTGTAGTTTAAAACTGTTTACAGTCAGAAAGAGGCAGTGTCTACAGCAAAATAGACAAAAGAGGAAAGCCTATATCAAGCCCTGTCCAACAGTAAATGACAGGCCTGGCCTGTTGTAATCACTACCTCTTAAACAAAAATTTACTGGTTTCTTCCAAATGGAGAGAGAAGTGTGCAAACACACACCTTTTT